CCCCCGGCCCCCGGCCCCCGCCACCCAAAACACCCTCTAATAATGGAGTAGTCCTGTGGCACTTTAGACACTAACAAAAATAGCTAGGATCATGAGCTTTCCAGCTGATCCGTTGACGTGGGCTTTACCCACCAAAACTCATCATGCTATCTGTTTGTGTCAGTCTCTAAACTACCACAGGACAACTAATTTTTAAAGTTACCATCTAAAATTTCTACCCCTGTGAGAGCTCTTGTAACCGACAGCTCAGGGAGTAACACACTCACCTGAGATAGGGACATAAAGACTTAAATTTCTCCTCTTCCTGATATAGGCCCATGGGTCTCCCAAACTCTCAAGAGAGAGCCGTAACCACTAGGCTGCACGGCTGGTCTCTCTCCAGCTCTGTGGTTGGGTAACACAGTCATTGCAAGTAGGGGACAGGCACCTGAGTCTCTCCCGTGAGTGTTTTGTCCTGGCAGGTTGCTGGGCTGCTGCAGCGCGGCATGTGACCTGCATTACCCCAGCCTGGGGCCCTGTTGGCACTGTAGCTACAGCTGCGATTCCCGGCTCACTGGCTCTATCTGGGCCGTGTGGCTCAGGCTGCTGACCCTGCGCACACCTGGGATCCGGGACTGAGTGGCTCTAGGGCACTGGCCCATGTGAATGCTCCACCCTGCTAGGGGGTGTGTGTCTGCTTGAGGTGGGATGCGCACCTGCCTGCAGACATCCCCCCTGTCACATCCACACAGTAACTCACCCAGGAGCCTTCCTAGGGGCTGGACCAAGTGGCCTCATCCAGGCACAGAGGTTTTTGGTACCATCCCCATGAAATCTCTGCAGCTCTTGCGGCTTTGAAGAGGTAGAATCCAGGATGGGCCAGTAGAGCTGCTCTTAACCTGGCTCTTGATTGCGGGGTGACAGGGTCACCAGGCGTTAGCTTCTCACACCCAGCACCCACCTCCATCCCCCATATCAGACGCTTACCTGTGCAGATCAAGGGGACAACAGGCTGGCTGGGCCGGAGGTACCCTGGTCGGCACATGCAGGTGTAACTGCCCAGTGTGTTGGTGCAGATGGAGTTGGGGCCGCAGGGAGATGGGTCTCGGGAACATTCGTCAATATCTGGATGGGGAAGAATGAAGGTTGGCCACGTGTGATGCTAGGTCCCAGGGGCCTTTTACATTAGTCACTCTGCCCTATGCCTGAACCGGCTCTCACCATTGCTCTACACTGCTGGGTCAGTGACGCGCTGCTCCCCAGAACTGGATGCAAAGCTGGGTTTGCTGGGGCAGCAGTGGCCCCCTGGGGTGTTAGTGCAGGTGGCGTCCTCAAGGCCCCCTCCGAATGCAAAGGAGGCCAACTCTGCACAACAGAGCCTTCTCTCAGTGGAAGGATGGTGGTTGAGAGCAGGTCCCCAGGTGCTGGCATCAGAGGGGGCACAGTGTCAGGAATATGGCCCCCAGGAGGTTTGCAATCTGCTGCCCAACCTCAAGAGCCAGCAGCTACTGGTGGCCTGAGAAGTGGGCACCAGGAGGCCGGGTTAGATTGGTGGCTGTGGGACAGGAAGGTGAGGCACTGGTTCTAGCTGGATCGTGCACAGGCAGAACTCTGGGCTTCTATCCTGAGACTGAAGAGGGGAGTGATGCCTAGCGGTGAAAGCAGGAGGCTGAGGCATCAGGACTCCTGGGTTCTGTCCCCAGCTCTGCCACAGACTCCCCATGTGCCCTTTGCCACGTCCTTTCCCTTCTAGAAAGCTCTGTTTCCCCAGATGTGCAGGGTTATAATCCAGATTTGCTTTCCTATTATTGTAAGACCACAGCAGCTCCTGCTGCAACCAATGGGAGCAGAGGCCGTTCAGCATCTCTCAGGTGCTGGTCTCCATTCACACAGCATCACAGTGGCCTGCAGCACTGAAATACCCTATCCTGGGGCCCTGTGGGCCCTACACCTACCGCTGCAATCCCCCTCCCCCCTACCCAACCCACTCACTGGCTCTCTGGGCTACAAAGCAGCATGGCCGCCGTTTGACTCCACCTGCTCCCCAGCGCACACCTGGGATCTGGGACAGCAGGGCGGCTCTAGGGCACTGGCCCATACGCTGCCTTGCCCATGTGAATGCTCCACCCAGCTGGGGGGGGGGGCATGTCTGCTTCAGCTGGGACTCGCACCTCCCTTCTGCCCTGCAGACGTCCCCCGGTCACATCCACACAGTAACACACCCACGCACCTTCCTAGGGCTGGACCCAGGGGCCTGGCCCAGAGGTTTTTGGTCTCATGGTGCCTCCCAGGAACACACTCGCCTGTTAGCTCAGGCAGCAGGGACACAGGGTTTGGAGTCTTGGCTCATCAACACTTCAGTAGGCAAAGAGCAGGGCAAATCCTGGTTGTTTTGAGTGCAGGGGCCAAACCAGGAGAGAAATAAGCAGGCTGGGATTGGTCCTGCCTTGGGCAGGGGGCTGGACTTGATGACCTCATGAGGTCTCTTCCAGCTCTATGGTTCTATGAGGAGGAAATTCTTCCTGGACAACTGAAGGTGAAATTTTGGGGACTGCTCTCATTGAAACAAACACACCAAACAGTTCATCTGGGTTCGATCTTTCCACACTACCTGAGGTTTCAGTTTCCTGTTTGTTTGCAGTTGTGACTGGTTTGCATTCGGGTGGCTTTAGCTAAATTTCCCAGTGAACCCTTATTTTGAAGCAAAAGTCTAAAATGTTTCATTTAAACCATGTCACAAGTGTCACAATTCCAAGCCCAAAGGCTCCAGGGTCGACTTCCGCCCACAGGGTGTTACGTAGAAGCACAGGGAGGCCATGCTGGCCCCTAGCCAAGGAGTTCAAAGTCTAGTGAACAGGTGTTTGCAAACAGGGAGTTTAGAGAGGGAGTTCTCCAGGTGAATGAGAATCAAATACAGGACCCTCGAGGGAAGTGGCTGTCTGAAGTGTGTGTTGTGTTTGAGGCTTTCTTGCTGTTTGCTGAGCTTGTGTTTGTGAATGTCGTGGTTTGGGGACGGGAGGGGGATTCTTCTCTTCCCTCCCCCCCCCACGGAGTGTGTGCTATGACTGGCAGCTGGAAGCTGTTGGCTTCTAATTAAGGTTTGAAATCTAGAAACCTCTGCTGATTGGCTGAGCCTTAGCAGGGGGAGGCACTATCAGGCATTCTAGGACTTTATAAAGCAGTGAGCAGGCAATCTGGGAGATTGTGACCAGGTGATCGCAAACAGGGAGCTTTGAGAGGGAGTTGGGAAGGGGGCGAGGTACACTTGCCATTCTTTTAAATCTTTTTTCTAGGAAAGCAGGTATGGATAGTGACAGGTCTGCTCTTGCTACATACACAGCATGTGCCATGTTTGTCTTCCTCCTGGAAGAAAGAAGGGATTTCATCTGCACTAAGTGCAAGTTGATTGCGATTTTGAAAGAAAAAAGTTAGAGGACTGGAGGCCCAAGTGTCGATTCTACGCTCTATCAGAGAGGATGAAGACTTCCTCAATAGGAGGCAGTGTTTAATCCTGTAAGCACAGCAGGTGGAAGAGCCAGAGAGGGCAGTACAGGACAAGGAAGAGAACTGGCAGCATGTAACTTCTAGAAGAAAAGAAACAGAGAACAACTCAGGAATCCCCCATTGCTATAGAGGTAAGTAATCGCTTTCAGGCTCTCTCCACAGGCACTGCAGTGGAGAATGCTTTGGAAGGGACCTCTCAAGGAAGAAGTCGGAAGGGAACCCCATCTACTGGAAGGCAGGAGATGTGTAGTCCTAGGGATGGGGGTTCCAAGACCACCACCCCCAAAAGAAAAAGAGGGTGATGGTGGTCGGACTCCCTCTTAAGAGGGACTAAGCCATTCATCTGCCGTCCAGACCTGGAATCTCGAGAAGTGTGCTGCTTACCGGGAACTCGAATTCAGGATGTGACTGAGAGTCTTATAAAACTGATCAAACCTTCGGATCGCTACCCCTTCCTGCTTCTCCACGTGGGAACTAATGATACAGCCAAGAATGACCTTGAGCAGGTTACTGCGGATTATGTAGTGATGGGAAGAAGGATCAAAGAATTCAGAGCGCAAGTGGTGTTCTCGTCCATCCTCCTTGTTGAAGGAAAAGGACTGGGTAGGGATCGTAGAATTGAGGAAATAAATGCATGGTTGCGCAAGTGGTGTCGGAGAGAGGACTTTGGTTTCTTCTACCATGGGACACTGTTCCAGGCACAAGGGTTGTTAGGAAGAGATGGGATCCACGTAACCAAGAGAGGAAGGAACATCTTTGCAGGCAGGCTTGCAGACCTAGTGAGGAGGGCTTGAAACTAGGTTCGTTGGGGGATGGTGACCAAAATCCCGAGGGGAGTGGAGAAGTCAGACATCAGGAAGGAATGGAAAGAGGAACAAGCAACGATGGTGGACCCCTGATTCGAATGGAGAAGGTAGGGCGATCAACTGGTTATCTGAGGTGTTTGTATATCCATGCTAGAAGCCTGGGTAATAAACAGGACAAATTAGAGCCCCTGGCCCAGTCCAAGAACTATGATTTGATTGGGATAACAGACTTGGTGGGATGACTCACATAACTGGAGCACTGTCATGGAAGGATATAAACTATTCAGGAAGAACAGCCTGGGGAGAAAAGGAGGAGGAGTTGTACTGTATGTAAGAGAGAACTATGATTGCTCAGAGCTCCAGTATATAGAGGGAGAAAAGCCTGTTAAGAGTCTATAGGTTAAGTTTAGAGGTGCAAACAACAACAGTGATGTTGTGGTTGGTGTCTGCTACAGGCTGCCAGATCAGATGGATAAGGTAGATGAGGCTTTCTTCAGACAACTGAGAGAAACTTCCAGATCGCAGGCCCTGGTTCCCATGGGGGACTTTAATCACCCTGACCTCTGTTGGAACACCAATATAGAAGAATACAGACAATCCAGGAAGTTTTTGGAGAATGTTGGGGATAACTTCTTCGTACAAGTGCTGCAGGATCCGACCAGAGGCCATGTGCAGCTTGACCTGCTGCGCACAAACAGGGAGGAACTAATAGGGGAAGTAGAGGTAGGTGACAATCTTGGAAGCAGTGATCATGAGATGGTAGATTTCAGGATCCTGACCAAAGGAAGGAAAGAGTAGCAAAATACATACCCAGAAAACCAGACTTTGACTCCCTCAGGGTATGTCTACACTACCCCGCTAGTTCGAACTAGCGGGGTAATGTATGCATACCGAACTTGCTAATGAAGCCCGGGATTTGAATTTCCCGGGCTTCATTAGCATAAAGCCGGCGCCGCCATTTTTAAAAGCCGGCTAGTGCGAACCCCGTGCCGCGCGGCTACACGCGGCACGGGCTAGATAGTTCGAACTACGTAGCCATTCCGAACTATCTGTACACCTCGTTCCAGCTTCTGAGGGGGTCTTCCAGCTCTAGGATTCTAGGAGTCCAGTGCCTACGCTGACTAATGCAGAGAATGAGATTCCACCAGAGTATCTGAGTCTCCCTGGCCATGGGGTTTAATGAGCAGAGGGCCAGAAGAAAGGAGCTGCATGGCAGCTGTTCCTTTAGCTATTCCAGCAGCGTGGGAAGGAGCCCCCGATACTATTCCCATGAAACTTCGCAGCAGTCGGGACTTTGGACATTCAGAATCTCGGGTGGGCTGGCAAAGCTACTCAGAACTTGGCTCTCAATTCCGGGGTGACCGGATCACCAGGCGTTAGCTTCTCATACCCAGCACCCACCCGCATCTCCCGACACTTACCTGTGCAGCTGAAGGGGGCGCCAGGCTGGCTGGGCGGGAGGTAGCCTGCCTGGCACATGCAGGTGTAATTGCCTGGTGTGTTGGTGCAGATGGAGTTGGGGCTGCAGAGTGATGGGTCTTGGGAACATTCGTCAATATCTAGTAGGGAGAATCCATACTGTTGTCCGTGTGTGACCCTAGGACACCAGTGTCCTACCGCCCCAGCCTCTCACACTGACCCAAACCCCACTGGATCCAGTGGGAATATTTCCATCAGTCCAAGGGTGCTTTTACATCACTCTGCCCTCTGCCTGAACCATCTCTCACCATTGTGCTGCACTGCTGGGTCAGTGGCACACTGCTCCCCAGAACTGGATGCAAAGCTGGGTTTGCAGGGGCAGCAGTAGACCCCTGGGGTGTGGGCACAGGTGCTGGCCTCAGGGCACTCGGCCAACTGCAGATGGCCCCAGCTCTGCACAACAGGGCCTTCTCTTGATGGGAGGATGGGGAGAATGTAACAAGCAGCTGGTATCAAGGGGGCACAGTGCCAGGAATATGGCTCCCAGGAGGTTTGCAATCTGCTGCCCAACCTCAAGAGCCAGCAGCTACTGGTGGCCTGAGAAGTGGGTGCCAGCAGGCCTGGGTTAGATTGGTGGCTGTGGGACAGGAAAGTGATGCACTGGTTCTAACTGGATGGAACACAGGTAGGACTCTGGGTTTCTATTCCCAGCCTGAAGAGGGGAGTGAAGCCTAGCAGTGAAAGCAGGAAGCTGAGGACTTAGGACTCCTGGGTTCTATCCCCAGTTTTGCCACAGACACCCCATGTGACCTTTGCCAAACCATTCCCCCTTTTAGAAGCCTCAGTTTCCCCAGATGTGTAGTGTGCAGGGAACAATCCAGATTTGCTTTCCTATTATTGTAGGGCCACACCCAGAGGGGCAGAGCCCTGCCAGCTCCCCCTGCAACCAAGGGGAGTAGAGGCCGTTCAGCAACTCTCAGGTGTAGGTTTCCATTCACAGAGTACCACAGGCATCTGCAGCGCTGCGATACCTTAACCTGGGTCCCTTCCAGCTGCAATTCTCCCCTGCTCACCTGCTCTGTCTGGGCTACAAAGCAGTGTGGTTTGCTCAGGCTCTGCCCAGTGCAGACCTGGCATCTAGAACAGGGCAGCTCTGGGGCACTTTCCCATACGCTGCCTTGACCATGTGAATGCTCGACCCAGTTAAGGGGTGTGTGTCTCCTTGAGCTGGGACTCGCACCTCCCCGCAGCCCTGCAGACACCCCTCTGTCACATCCGCACCATAACACACCCACGTGCCTTCCTAGGGCTGGACCCAGGGGTCTGGGCCTGGCACAGAGGTTTTTGGTCTCATGGCGCCTCCCAGGAACACACTCGCCCGTTAGCTCAGGCAGCAGGGACAGTGGGACACAGGGTTTGGAGTCTTGGCTCATCAACACTCCAATGGGCACAGAAGAGCAGGGCAAATCCTGGATATTTTGAGTGCAGGGGCCAAACCAGGAGAGAAATAACCAGGAGAAAATTCTTCCTGGACAACCCGAGGTAGAATTTTGGGGACTCCTCTCACTGAAACAAACACACCAAACGGTTCATCTGGGATCGACCTTTCCACCCAACCTGAGGTTTAACTTTCCCTTTTCTTTTCAGATGTGGCTGGTTTGCATTTGGGTGGTTGGTTTTTAGCTAAATTTCCCTCACTTTGAAGCAAAAATCAAAACTGTTTCATTTAAACCATGTCACAACTGTCACAATTCCAGGCCCAAAGCCCCTGGGTTCAACTCCCGCTCACAGGGTGTTATATGTAAGAATAGGGAGGCTGTGCCAACCGCTTACCAAGGAGTTCAGAGTATAATGGCACCAGCCAGTGCATGCTCTAAAGGCTACGTCTACACTGCAGGCTTCTTACGCAAGAGTTCTTGTGCAAAAGTTCTTGTGCAAGAGCGCCCGTGGCAGTGTGGACACTCTCTTGCACAAGAAAACTTTGATGGCCACTTTAGCCACAGGGGTTTCTTGCACAAGAAATCCATGCTGCCTGTCCACACTGCCTTCTTGCACAAGAGCTCTTGTGCAAAAAGGCTTATTCCTCTTGGGGACAGGAATAAATCTTCCCCAAGAAGCCTTCTTTTCCAACGCTGTACTGTAAATTTACTTGCACAAGAACACGGGTGCAGAGTAGAGTCTCTGCAAGTTTTTATGCAAGAAGCCTGCAATGTAGACATAGCCTTACTGTAAGGCAGGGAATGAGGCTCTATCAGAGGATTTACATCTCCCTGGCCAGGGGGGCTGGGGGACTTTGCAAGGAGTTGGCAACAGGAAACTTAAACTCTACACTTGTCCTTGTTGAACCGCATCAGATTTCTTTTGGCCCAATCCTCTAATCTGTCTGGAGGCATTAGCTTCTCACACCCAGAGCCCTACACACACCTCCTGAATCAGACTCTTACCTGTGCAGCTGAAGAGGGCGCCAGGCTGGGTGGGTGGGAGGTAGCCTGGTTGGCATGTGCAGGTGTAACTGCCCAGCGTGTTGGTGCAGATGGAGTTGGGGCCGCAGGGCGATGGGTCTCGGGAACATTCATTAATATCTAGTAGGGAGAATCCATACTGTCGTCCATGTGTGACCCTAGCACACCAGTGTTCTACTGCCCCAGCCCCAAAACACTGACCCAAACCCCACTGGATCCAGTGGGAATCTTTCCATCAGCCCCAGGGGCTTTTTGCATCACTCTGCCCTGTGCCTGAACTGGCTCTCACCATTGCACTGCGCTGCTGGGTCAGTGACGCGCTGCTCCCCAGAAATGGATGCAAACCGAGGTCTGCAGGAGCAGCAGTGCCCCCTTGGGGTGTGGGTGCAGCTGGTGTCCTCAGGGCACACCCCTAAATGCAGATGGGCCCAGCTCTGCACAACAGAGCCTTCACTTGGAGGGAGGATGGAGGCGGGGAGAGGAGCACGGCCTACTGCTGGCATAAGAGGGGGCATTGTGCCAGGAATATGTCTCCCAGCAGCTTTGCAACGTGCTGCCCACCCCCTCGAGGCAGCCGTGTTAGTGGCCTGGGAGGTGGGAGCCAGGACGCCTGTGTTCCCTTCTCAGCTCTGTGAGGAGAGGGAGGGTTGGGAGCTGGAGCAGGGAGGAGCCAGGAGAGTGGCAAGGGGGAGTCCACACCCCTGGGTTCAATTGCTGGCGGTGGGGTAGGAAGGTGGTGGACTGGTCCTCGTAGGATGGTGCACAGACGGGATATTTGGGTTCTATCCTGCCCTTCAGGAGCAGAGCGAGGTCTAGTAGATATAGCAGAAGGGGGGAGTCAGGGCTCCTGGGTTCCACTCCAAGTTTTTGCACAGACTCCCTGTGTCATGTTGTTGAAACCTTTTACCCACGTGACGCTTCTCTCTCCAGATCTCCTTGCCCATTATTCCAGGGCCACATGCTCAGAGGCAGGGCACCCGCCCCTCCCCTGTAACCGAGGGGAGCGAGGCTGCTCAGCTGTCCCTCAGCACGTTTCCACCCTGGGTCTCCATCCACATGGCCCCATTGGTGCCCCGGTGCACGGCACCCTGTCACCTGGATTTCCCATGTCTGTCACAAGCTTTAGTTCATTCCCCATGCTCCTCCCCCTAGCCCTGCGCCAGCCCCAGCCCGGTGTGTCAGAGCAGGGCAAAGCCTCAGTCCAGCCCAGCTGATGGCAAATTGCTGTTGTTTCAGGGGAGTCGATGGAGCAGCAGCACCGGGGGGCCTGGCCTCAGTGACTCTGTGCCCTTCACCCTGAGGAAGGATCTGGCCCCGCACAAGCCACCCCAGTGTGTTGAGCACGGGGCAATGAGCAGCAAAGGGCTTTGGTGCCCAGCCATGGGCATCCCTGAGAGCAAAGGCTGCACTGAGATGGCCATGGTCCCAGGGGTGCTGGCTCTCACACAGAGTCGGGCCGAGGGGCTGGTGTGTGCCGGGAGTCCCTTCATGACTGTGTGGGGGCAGGAGAGACCTGGCTGGGAGAACGCCTTCAGCTTCCCACTGGCTCTCACCTGAGCAGTCCAGAGGAGCGACGCTTCTGGGCAGCCAGGAGTCTCCTTTGGAAGATCTGTAGCCAGATTCACACTTGCAGGAGAAACTTCTCTCATTGTTCTTGCATAAGGCATTCAGGCCGCAGGACGGAGGGTGATCGGAACATTTGACCGATACCTGGACAGGAGCATACAGAACCGGAGTCATTCAGTGGCCCAGGAAGGTGCTTGTGTTGCCCCTAGTGGGTGGGTGCTACAGGTCCCCTTATGGCCCATGTGCAGGACGCAGAGCGCTCCTGCCTTCCTCACTTGTGGGCAACCTGCTGCCTGAGGGCCAAATGCAGCCCACTGGGACTCCACCTGCAACTTGCAGAGCCCCTGTCTTCCCCCCCAGACACACCCCTCACACACTGAGGCACCAGACCCCCACACTTCTTACTCCTTCCCCGCCCTCCCAGCACTTTTGGAGAGCCACAAACCACCTGATTTGTGCTCCGTATCCCCTCTGACGCCTCCCGCCCATTTCCTAACTTCAGAGTGCTTAACATGCAACCTTTAGCACAGTCACCCCCAAACTGTGGGACATGCCCTCCCTCCATGGGGGCATGGAGGAAGGTTGGGGGGGTGTGACAGGGCCTGGGAAACCCCCATAGGTGCATCAGGGCCTAACAATGGATTGTTGTCCCGCTCAGTGGGAAACGGAGGAGGAACCGGAGCTGGTCATGGAATTAAAAGGCAGCTCTGTTTAGTCCCCCGAGGAGGTGGCAGACACAACACAAGGGAGCAGAATAAAAGGGAAAAATCAGAAAGAGGAAAATGCAGGGAAAGGGGAGGAGGAAATGGGATGCAAAGCTCTTGGCCTGTTCAGAGCCCCTTGCAGTGGCAGGACACATGGGGGTTTGAATCTAGAGATTGTGCCCAGGTTTCCAGGCATCAACTTACCCACCATTGAGAAATGAGTCTCCTTGAGGAAGACGAGCCAATAAAAGCCTGAAAGAAGAGAAACAAGCAAGGCTGTTCCTATGGCATTGGTTAGGCGAGGCCTTGGAGATGGGGGATTTATTCCTGGCTCTGCTGCTGGAGCTCAGCCAAGTCACAATCCCCTGGCCCATGTCACCTGGGGCCAGCTTCTCCACTCCAATTAGATGCTCTCCAGAGCAGACTCTGTGTCCACCCAGCTGGGTTCAGAGACCTCAGTCGCTCTTGCTGAGCAAGGGGCCCGTGGGTCAGCTCTGGGCCGAGAAGCAGCAGCAGAGCCAGGAACATCAGGGCAGCAAGCCCCTGGGGGAGCATCTCCTGGCAGCTGGGCTCTGAGGGTAGAGGCAGCACCGGGGCGGGGATGTTAAATATCAGTTAATTGAATAGTTGAGTAACCTCATGAATTCTCATTGGTTACTTGACTATTCAATAGTCCTTGGGGGCGGGGCTAGCAGCCAGTGCGCTCTGGCCACGCTCCCAAGAAGACTCCTGCCAGGTGGGAGCTGGTCTGAGAGGGGAGCCAGTTTAAAACCAGCTCCCCTTGTGGAATGGCTGCCTCTTGCCCTGTGCTGCTGCCTCTGATAAAGAGGCAGCAGCACAGGGTGGAAGCAGCCCCTGTCTGGGCTCCTGGACCCTGCATGAGCCAAAACTGAGCTGGGCTGCCTCCCCACCCAGCTCCTAATGCATTTTAAATGCTGCAGCAGGAGTAGGTCCCAGACCCTGCATGAGCCAAGACTGAGCCCGGCTGCTGGCCAGCTTGCTAAATTGGTGGGGGGGGGGGGGATGCATGTAGTTTACAGCATTAATCGATAAGCTTTTGCTTATCGGTTACACTATCACATTCCTACTCCAGGGGGCGCTGTTGGTCATCACGAGGCTCCTTCAGGGAGGAGGCAAGAGCACATCGGGCCCAGGCTGGAGCTCTGCCCCCGCCCTGCCTGGGGAGCCGCCTGGCTTGGGGAGCAGGGCCACCAGGCAGAGTCCCGGTGTGGTGGTGCGTCGGGG